CCACCACACACACTACCACCACCATCACACACTACCACCACACACCACCAACACACACTACCACCACCACCATCATATACCACCACCACACACCACAACCACAACTCACTACCACCACCACAACAAACTACTACCACCACCACCACTAACTACCGCTACCACCATCACCATCTCACACTACCACCACCACTACCACCACTCATTACCACCACCACCACACACACTACCACCACCACCTCCACAAACTACCACCAACACCACCACCCACTACCACCACCACCACCAATATCACACACTACCAAAATCACCACCACACACTACCACCACCTCCACCAATCACCACCATAACCACCACACAATACTACCACTACAAACACCATACACTACCACCATCACCACACACTACCATCACCACCAACACTAAATACTACCACCACCACCACCCCCACACATTGCCACTACCACCACCACATATTACCACCACCACTACCACACACACTACCACCACTACCACCACCACACACTACCACCATCACCTTCACACACTACCACCACCACCACCACCACACATTACTACTACCAGCACCAAACATTACCACCACAACCACCACACACTACCACTACCACCACCAAACACTCTAGACTCGTATATAGATTCGTTTTATATAGACTCGTTCCTCTCGGATATATACTCGTTTCCCTCATTGTTTGCTGATGATGCAAAAAATTATGAGAAGAATCAAGAAGTATGAAGGTAGACAGAGACTACAGGTAGACCTGGAAAAACTGGAGGAATGGTTTAGATATTGACTGCTAAAGTTCAACTAAGGCTAAGGGAAATTAGGCTAAGGGAGCAGGAGGCTGAACACAAGGTACTATCTGGGAGGTAACATCTTGCAAGAGTGAAATTGATAGAAAGATCTGGGGGTTGATATCACACCGAACCTCTCCCCAGAGGACCACATCAAAAGGATAACATCACCGGCATATACTAGACTGGCCAACATAAGAACTGCCTTCAGAAACTTGTGTAAGGAATCGTTCCGGACCCTTTAAATCACTTATGACAGACCAATCCTGGAATATGCAGCTCCAACCTGGAGTCCATATCTAGTTAAACACAAGACAAAGTTAGAGAAGATTCAGCGGTATGCCACCAGGCTCGTCCCGGAACTGAGAGGTATGAGCTACGAGGAAAGGCTAAAGGAGCTGAACCTCACGTCCCTGGGAAACAGAAGAGTAAGAGGAGACATGATAACCACCAACAAAATTCTCAGGGGAATTGACCGGGAGGACAAAGACAAACTCTTCAGCACGGGTGGGACACGAACAAGGGGACACAGGTGGAAACTTAGTACCCAGATGAGCCACAAAGACGTAAGAAAGATTTTTTTCAGTGTCAGAGTAGTTAATAAATGGAATGCACTAGGCAGTGATGTGGTGGAGGCTGACTCCATATCAGCTTCATACGTATATATGATAGAGCCCAGTAGGCTTATGAATCTGTACACCAGTTGATTGACAGTTGAGAGGCGGGACCAAAGAGACAAAGCTTAACCCTTGCAAGCACAATTAGGCGAGTACACTACCACTACCTCCACACACTACCACCACCACCACACTACCACCACCACCACACACTACCACCCCCAATCACTACTACCACCACCACCACCACCATCACACACTACCACCACCACCACCACCACAACACACTACCACTACCACTACCACACACTACCACCACCACAACACACTGCCACAACCACACACTACAACCACCATCACCAAAAACTACCAAAAACACACTTCCCACACCTCCACCATAAACTACAATTACCTCCATAAACTACCACCACCTTTACATACTACCACCACTACCTCCAACCATTTCCACCACCAACACACACTACCACCACCATGACACACTACCACCACCATTACACACTATTACCACCAATACCACACACTACCACCACCATTACCAAACACTATAACCACCACCACACACTACCACCACCTGCACCATCTCACACTATTACCACCAATACCACACACTACCACCACCATTACCAAACACTATAACCACCACCACACACTACCACCACCTGCACCATCTCACACTACCACTACCATCTCACAGTACCACCACCCCACACTATCACCACCCCCACCCCAACCACACATTAACTCCACAACCAACACCACACACTATCTCCACCACCACCATCACACACTGAAACCACCTCCACATACTATCACCACCACCATCATACACTACCACAACCACCACACACACAACCACCACACACCACCAACACACACTACCAACACCACCACCATCATATACCACCACCTCCACCACCACACACCACAACCACAACACACTACCACCACCACCGCTTCAAACTACCACCACCACCACCACCACAAACTACCACTAACACCACCACACAACACCACCACACAACACCACCACCACCATACAATACCACCACCACACACAACACCACCACCACCACTACAAACTACCATCACTACCACCACACACTACCACTACCACCACCATCACACACTACCCGCACCAGTATCACACACTACCACCATCACCACCACCATCACACACTACCCGTACCAGTATCACACACTACCACCATCACTACCACATATTACCACCACAACACACTACCACCACTCACCACCATAACCTCCACACAATACCACCACCACCAACACCATACACTACGACCACACCCAAACCACCACCACCATCACCTCACACTAACACCATCACCACACACAAACACTACACACTACCATCACCACTAAACACTACCACCACCACCACCTGCACACATTGCCACTACCACCACCACCACCCCCACACATTGCCACTACCACCCCCACACACTACCACTACCACCACCACCACACACTCTAGACTCGTATATAGATTCGTTTTATATAGACTCGTTTCTCTCAATGTTTGCTGATGATGCAAAAAATTATGAGAAGAATCAAGAAGGATGAAGGTAAACAGAGACTACAGGAAGACCTGGACAAACTGGAAGATTTAATCTAATTTAAATTAAATCTTCCGGCGACGGGAGCAGGAGGCCGAACACAAGGTACCATCTGTGAGGTGAAATCCTGTAAGAGTCAAATAGAGAGAAAGATCTGGGGTTGATATCACACCGAACCCCTCCCCAGAGGACCACATCAAAAGGATATCATCAGCGGCATATGCTAGACTGGAGGACATAAGAACTGCCCTTAGAAACTTGTGTAAGGAATTGTTCAGGACCCTGTAAATCACTTATGACAGACCAATCTTGTAATATGCAGCTCCAACCTGGAGTCCATACCTAGTTAAACACAAGACAAAGTTAGAGAAGATTAAGCGGTATGCCACCAGGCTCGTCCCGGAACTGAGAGGTATGAGCTACGAGGAAAGGCTAAAGGAACTGAACCTCACGTCCCTGGGAAACAGAAGAGTAAGAGGAGACATGATAACCACCTACAAAATTCTCAGGGGAATTGACCGGGTGAACAAAGACAAACTCTTCAGCACGGGTGGGACACGAATAAGGGGACACAGGTGGAAACTTAGTACCCAGATGAGCCGCAAAGACGTTAGAAAGAATTTTTTCAGCGTCAGAGTAGTTAATAAATGGAATGCACTAGGCAGTGATGTTGTAGAGGATGACTCTTGATTCGTATTGATATTCACTTCGTCCCCCCATACTTTTTCCGTGGCCTCTCCAATGTTCTGCGGCCCGTATCTTTGTGAGTAAATGGTATACGATCTGTTCCATTTATCTCCCCGTAAATATTCCGCTCTCTGTTCCTGAACTTAAACACTTGTTGGACTCCTTACCAGAACCTGTGCTCCTGTTGGGTTATTTCAACTGTCGGCATACACTCTGGGGTGATGCTCTGATGAACACCCGGGGGCCACCTTCTCGAACCATTTGTACTCTCTTCTTCTGTCCTTTCTGAGTTCTGGTGAACCCTTTCCTGTCATGATCTTTCTCTCTGCTCGTCTTCTCTTTAGTTAGATTTCACATGGTGGGTTCTTGTTGACCTACATAACAGTAACTTTTTCCCCATCGTTGTCTCTTTTTTTTCTCTTTACACCCGCCCCTCTTCTTTCCTAGATGGCAGTTTGCCCAGGCTGATTGAAATCTATTCACACTTCTTGCTACTCTTTTTGATCTCTCCGCCGAGCCTCTTCCTCGAACCCTCCTCCTTTTTCATTACACCATATTCGACGCTGCCCTCCAATCTATTCCTCGCTCTTCCTTCCGAGGCTCGTGGAAGTGCGTTCCCTGGTGGAATGCGGACTGTGCTCCAGCTGTCCGCTGTAAGCGTGCAGCCTGGAAGAAACACCGACGCCAGCAGACGGCAACTTCTTTTATTCCCTTCCGGTAAGCGAGTGCGGTGGCCCGCAAGGCCATCTTTACAGCTAAACGTGAGAGTTGGAAATCTTACATTTCCACCATTACGTCTGATACTCCTTTGCCACAGATCTGCAGGAAAATCAACAAGATAGTGGGTAGGTTTGTTCCAGATGTCTCACCAGTCCTTCACCTCCATGGTACTCGTGTGTCATATCCAGTAACGGATTGCAACCAAACTGGTTTCGCACTTTTCTTCTGTTAGCTCTAGTTCTCATCATCCTCAATCCTTGCTTCTTCGTAAGTCCTTTCTAGAACCTTTTCCCTTAGATTTTCACACTCGTCTCCGACTTTCCTATATCGATACTTAGTCTTCCTCCGAATTTCAGTCTGCTCTGACCCTCTGCAGCTCTACAGCAGTTGGAATAGATGACATTCGTTATGAGATGCTTCGCCATCTCCCTCCATGTGCGTCCCAGTACTTACTGAATCTGAATAATCGAATCTGGGAGTCGTCGTCAGTCCCTGCGGACTGGTATCGATACGGTTGTTCTCCCTATTCGGAAACCGGGGTCTGTAGGGACATCCCCCTTAAGGACGTACGTCCAATTGCTCTCACGAGTTGTATCTGCCAACTCTTTGAACGCATTGTCAATGTCCATCTGATGTGGTTCATAGAACACTAGCACCACCTATCCCCTTCTCAATTTGGTTTTCGCAAGTGCTGCAGCACGACTGATGTCTTGGTGAGCTTGGAGGTCTATATTCGAACTGCTTTTGCTGCGAAGATCTAAGTTGTTGCTGTCCTTTTTAGATCTAGGAAAGTCTTATGACACCATCTGGAGATACCGATTTCTGTCCCAACTTCGTGCTCTGGCCTTCGTGGTAAGCTCCCTCTCTTCTTTCAAAGCTTCCTCTCTAGTCGTTCCTTTAAAGTGAGGCTTGGTACCGCTCTCTGCCTCTTTTAGGCAATATGAAGGTGTATCCAAGGTAGTGTTCCAAGAACTACTTTTTTTCCTTTTTGCTCTGAATGATCTTTCTTCCCTTCCTTCTGACATCTTCTCTGCTCTCTATGTCGAAGATCTTACCCTCTGTTTTTTTCAGGGAAGTGCGGGCCCTAAGCCTCTGGCTGGCCCACTAAGTGTTGCTTGTTTCTGTTTTACTTGGGCGTAGTATGAGTATTTATGACTCGTATGGTCGCTTCAGTAAGATTTTGTCCCATGTGTGTAACAACTTTTTCTGCTCTGTTGAATCTAAGTTGAATACCCTCTGCCGATTTCACCGTGATCGCTACTCTCTTCGACACCTTGTGCGGTCCTTACAACACTCTCACTCTCACTTATGTCGTGCCTTGACCTTTACCCCTCCTGTGGTTCCTGTTCCCCTTCACCACCTACCTCTTTCTGTACGGTTATCTCACAAGATGAGTGACAAATTCAGTGAAGTGACAAATTCTTGGTTTGCAAGCTGTCTTACGTGATAGTGTACAGTTAACGTAATTCCTCCTGGTTAATTAACTATCCATTTGACAGTAATTATTCACTGATTGTTTAATTTTATTTGTGGCAGAGTAATTACTGTGGAGAATTATTGTTTGATTAATCTGTTTGTAGTGACATATAGTAATTAACGTAGATTACCTTTGAGTGAGTGACTGTCTTAGACAGTAATTATATAATTATAATTGTAATGATTAATTCTAGCCATTTAAGACCTGCCATATTGCATTAAGTAATGCATTACTGTCTTGAGACAGTAATTAATGTAATTTAATAACGTAATTAACTTAATTGTTTATTTTGATTAAATTGATTATAATCAGCTGTTGTTGTCTGTGTGATAAAACGTTAACATAATTGTTGTTTTTATTGCCGTCTATAGAGACGTGTGTTAACATAATTGAGATTGTTAACAGGAGACTGTCTGTAACCAGTCTTGTTGTATTTGATTTGATTCTTTATTTTGATTTGCATCTTGAGTCAAAGTGAGCACTCGATGTTCAGTTTAGTTCATTATACCAGCCGAGAGCGGTACGGACAGGATTCTAGCTATGCGGTATTTGAATAGCTTTCACAGTGTCACTTAGGACATATATCATAGCGTTAAATTGTTGTGCTTTATTAGTATTAAGTTTGTTAATAAATGTTATTTGTTGCCAAACGAAAAGTGTCTTTATGTCAACATCTTCCAATGCTAATTACCCCTTAACTCCTCCAACTTCTAACTAGACTATTTCTTGCATTTAATGAGGGTCTGCTTCTGGGTAAAAACCTAATTCATAGCCCGATCACTGAATACAAATTCGATGTGACGACATGCAGTTACCTTTAAGATTGCCACAGGCAATTAAGGAATTAAACGACCTAGTGGATACGAGATGCCAAGGAATTGGAGTTCGGCGGCTGCTCTCACCTTTTACTTCAGTTTTACAGTATAACCTCACATCTGGCACTTAACGTGTCGGCACTGTGCAGTCCTTTCTGACAGAGTTCACTTGTAACGTATAACAAACAATCTCACAAACTTAGTGTTTTATGTTATCATAAATTATGCTGGATTAGTAAAATGTAAAATATTTTTATGATTATTTTTTTTTTATATATCTGAACGAACTAGATATTTTTGTTTGTTTTTCATGTCATTTTTCGATGTAAAATTAAAAATTAAGTTGGCATCACTGGCAGGGGCCCCCGGACATGTTACTGCTTGACCTAACTCCGGTTTGGGAAGACCCCACGTGGTGTCCGTTGAAACAAGCGCTTTGACTACATTTTCGGCCGAATCATTGAGCAGACATCGTCCATGGACTCCCGGTATCACCTGGAGATATTACCAGCAGGTGGAGGCTCATGCAAATATGACTCAATAATTTAGACTTATCTCCTATTCTTGGGACACCATTCCGGCAGCTGCTACCACTTCCCACCACCAAAACATGCAGCACTTAATCCTTTACATTGGATAACTTAGTCATCCATCTATACACGAATGTGCTCCGAAGAGATTTACAACTTTTTCAGAGAAGTTTTACTCCAGTTTTGCTGTTGACTAACAAATATATACTTTTTTATATTGGTGTGAACTCCTGCACCATCTCACTGTTCATGAGGCATGTCAGCACCACAACAGAGGTAAGAAAAGGAGACGAACGTGTAATATTGTTTTATCAGTTCAATGTAGGGTTCACTGTACAATATCCTTTGTTATTTACTACATATCAGACTAATAACGAATATCCTGCGTTTCAGTATAACAAATATATTTTGCTTGTGTGATGAGCCCATTGCAGGACTAAGGGATGAAGTCCCCCTACAAGCCGAGCTCCATCCATACTGCATTCGTTAACTGTATAGGATTTGTGAATTATTTATAGCCATTCATAAATACTCGGCTACGTTCTAGCTAAGTGTTCGGTAACTTTCATAATCGATTTTTCATCATTATTCATACTTTCTTTAGTATCCTAAGATGTAGTTTGATGCATTCTTGGTTGAGGATTATTATACAAGGAGTCATTGTAGTATGATAAAAAGTGAGTGACCTTCACCCAACTGCTGCTTGACTGATCAATGACTCAAGGAGGCAATTTCATATGTATTTCTTTCTTGGGTTCTTCATAGTTGATGTTTTTAAGGTTGTCGAATAATAAATACGAAGAAGTAGTAGCAGAATTTTAGGTTTGCCTGTTCAATTGTGATTTCCATAGTTGTTCGTTTGTACTTTTTGAATTCTTTAAAAACTAAGATGTTTTTTCAAACTGTTGAGTTTGAGGCCAGGCTTTGTGGAAACAAAGTTTAACTTTCGATAGACGTCGCTTTGTTCTTCAAAGAATACACTATTGTAGATGCATACTTCAGACTAATGAAAATTCTTCATCACGATATCTTCGTTTTTAAGAGTTTGTGAGATACTTTGCAAATGTCCATGTTCATATTTTTTTAGTTTTGTGGATTCTTTTCCTTTGATTTGGTTGAATGCAACGTAGTATGAACGTCATGGGTAAAAGGGCCGGGTTTGTCAGTAGAGTTGATGGTTTCGACATGTGTAGAAACATAGTTAGTAGGGCTGAGAATGAGAAATGGAAGTGGATATAATTCCAGCATTAACACCGGAGGAACACACAGGCGCATGATAACATCGGCAGCATATGGCATGCTGGGAACATGGGAAAATTATTTAGAAACCTGAATCAGGTTTCTCTCTCTAGACAAACTCTTTCTAGACAATCTACAGATCTACACAGCGTTTGTTTTAAGTCAGTCTTTAAATATGCAGCTCCGGCCTGGAATTCACATTTTGTGAAGTATAAAAATACACTTGAAAGATGCAGGGTTTTACAACTAGATTAGTCACGGAGTTAAGAGGGTTAAGGTATGTGGATAGGGTGAAGGAACTGTGCCTCAGAACCCTGGAGGACAGAAGAAACACAAGAGATAAGATCACAACATACAAGATACTAAGGGGAACAGACAACGTAGAGAACGATAGCCTCTTTACATTGAGAGAAGGTAGGATAAAACGACACAAATGGAAGCTGGAAACACAAAAGAATCGAGGAAATGTATGGAAATACACCCAGCCTGCAGGAGTGGTCAACGAGTTGAGTTCACTCAGAGAAGTTCTTGTGGAGACGCTTCCATCCACACCTTTAAGGACAAGTTTCAACGTGAGAGTAGTTAAGGTATACCGCCATATGCACAACATGTCCAGTAGATGGAACATAAAGAGCTAGACCTCACTTCCCCATTGTCACAGATAGGTAACAACGTATCCTCCTGATGCAGCTCGTAGAAGCTAACTCTCAAGTACCTATTAACTTCTAGGTGAACAGGCTAATCAAGTGAAGGAAACTATGACTATATGATTCTGTGATTCTGCCTCGCCCGGGAATCGAACCCAGGCCCTTAAGACTACGACCCTCGAGCGCTGTCCACTCGGCCGCGAGGACCTGTGTGTACTCAACAAGTTGTGCTTGCAGGGTTGAGCTTCAGCTCTTTGGTCCAGCCTTTCAATTGTCAATCAAGTAATGTACATAAGGTTACAGAGCCTATTTGGCTCTATCATATCTTCATTTGAAACTGTGTATGGAGTCTGCCTCCACCACATTACTGCCTAGAGAATTCCATTTCTTAACTACCCCTGACACTGAAATAATTCTTTCTAATGTCTCTGTGGCTCATTTGGGTACTAAGTTTCCACCTATGTTCTCTTGTTCGTGTTTCACTCAAGCTAGATTGTCTTTGTCCACACTGTCAATTCCTCCGAGAAATATATTGGAGGTGATCATGTCTCCCCTAACTTTTCTGACTTACAGTTTAATTCTCGTAGCCTTTCCTCGTAACTCATACCTCACAGCTCTGGGACTATTCTGGTGACATACCTGTGAATATTCTCCAACTTAGTCGTGTATTTAACTTGGTATGGACTCAAGGCTGAAGCTTCATACTCCAGGACTTGACAGACATATGTGGTATACAGGATTCTAAATGATTCCATGTTTCCAAAGGCAATTCTTATGTTGGCTAATCTGATATACGCCGATGATATCATTTTGACGTGGTCTTCTGGGGACAGGTTCAATGTGATGTTAACCCCAGATCGTTCTCTCTACTTGCCTCTTGGTGGTTTTCTCCTCCCAGAATTGTACCTTGTGCTAGACCTG